GCATATACCTGCACCGCTTTCTGTAGCTAGCTCCTCAGAGTCAGCTATTGTCTAGAAGTCTTGGCCTGACCTGGCCCTTCTCAGAGAAGCACACAGTCAAGGTTGAAATTCAGGCCTGGCTCCACCCCCCGTCCTGAACATGGAGGACAGACCTGTGCCTGCCGTCTCCTTCCCTGAAATTCCAGGACATTCCAATGTGCAAATCCCTCAGGTAATTCGGGAATTTGTCACCGGAGGGGTGCCGGCAGGCAGTGCGGGAATGAGAACCCGATAGGGGCCTGGGCGCTGGAGCCACATGGGGCGGGCCAGGGGAGGGCTCGCATTGCATGGAGGTTGAGCCAGGGGCGGGGCAGAGACAGGGCCCCAGCTGCACCACCCCACAGAAGCTGTCGGGGGACGGATGGGGCAGCTCTGATTAGGGTGACCCAAACCAAAGCAAACCACATGCATTCTCGGCCTGTGGACTCTGACCTGTGGCACAAGCCCAAGTGTGAGCAGAGCACCGTAGGGCTTTCTCTGACACAGTCTTGATGGAGTGCAAAAGCTGACCGCAAGATCGGTGGTTCAGACTCACCAGCCGCTCCTCAGGAGAAAGAAGAGGCTGTCTGTTTTCTCGAGAGTCACAGTCTCAGAACCCCTGAGGGGTGGTGCTAGTTTGTCCTTAGGGGTGCTACGTGTCAGGTTTGACGCAATGGCAGTGGACAGGGGCGGTCTTTACTGGAACGCCCCCCCCCCCCAAGTGGAGCGATGGTTAAGCGCTGGGTTGCTAGCTTGAAAGGTCAGCAGTTTGAATCTGTCCAACGGCCCAGGGGAAGAAAAGACCTGGCAGTCTCCCTGGGAACCTGACGGGGTGGCTTCAAGCAGGCCTGGACAGGACCTTACAGAACCTGACTGAGACTGCCAGTCCTTTCTTCTGCGGGGCGGCGGGAGGAGCACACGATCAGCGGGCCCAAGGTGCTCTCTGGCATCATCATTAAGGTACTGGTGGACGGCGGCGGGTTAGAGAGTCCCTTCGAGAAGACGGCCTACAGGGGGGCTCACCCCGCCCTGTACGTGATGTTCACAAGGCAATGCCTCACGTCTGACCTGACCCCCACCGAGCGCTCAACTGAGATCTCAATTAGTCCCTAAGGTGCACAGGAGGAGAAGAGATAGCTGGTTGTTCCAATGCCCCAGGGACCGGCCGTGCCGTGCCGCCCACCACCCTCCCGGGCGACCCCAGCTCCGGGGCCAACAGCTCCCACCCTCCCACCCATGGCACAGGGGCAGGCAGTGGCTCTGACCTCCCCTCCGCCCCATGGCAAAATGGAACGTTCCGGGCTCTGCTTGATGCCCATGCCCACCACACCTTCAAACTAATAGCCAGTACAGTCGCCACTGGCCACGGCCCCGTGGCAGGAACGAGAAGGAGGTGGGTGGAGCTCCCTGAGAGTGGCTTCCGGACCGTGGAGGAGAGGGCAGGCACCGGGCTTTCCCAATCCACGCCCATCTCAGCAGCGGCTACCCCCTCCAACCTCCAGGGTTGGGGCGCTGCTCTTGGCG